AGGCCCGCTCTCGAGGAAGAGTTGGGGAGCTGTGTTTTGGGGTGGAGAGAGGGGACCACTCTCCAATTTACCAGGGACCACTCCAGGAGGGGGGTGCAAGTCTCAGGTTTGAATCCAGAATTTGGAGGAGTCTGAAAGCCCTTGGCACGCCTGGGCCTGCGATGCTGCTGGAGGAGGAGGCAGGCGGTGGTGGAATGTGGCCGGAAGTCTGTGGGCTGCCCCTCCTGGGACTGGCGCGACCCTCCCTTTCTGGGCAGGCTGCCTGGAGACAGGGGCACAGATTGTATGAGGCCTCAAGGATGGGGACCTGGCGGGAGGGGGCAGTCTGACCCCATCCTCCTCTCTTGGGTGGGGGGAGTGAGCTCCAGGCCTTGAGCCCTTTCATGTTTAATCCCTGGCCCCCCATCCCTGCCTCAGCATGGCTGGTGGCCAGAACCAATTGCTGTCCTGAATAGGGGGGAAGGGGGAGGAGGAGCAGGGGGATGGAGGAGGCATGGGGGAGGGGGGGAAGGGAGTAGGACTTTGAATCTTGATTTCTTTTCTCACCAAATCTGTGATTTTGGACACATCACCTCTCTGAACCTCAGTTTCCTCATCTGTAAAATGGGGATGGTGATCATCCAACTCCTAGAACTGTTCTGGGGGTTACCTGGGGTAATTATTTACCCAAAGTGGTTCTTCGCTCAATGAGTAGTGGTTAGTTAGAAAACAAAACAGAAAAAAAAGAAAAGAAAAAACAACAAGAAGAGTAGCCACAGCTGTTGTTATTAACGTCATCTTTTTTTCCTTGATGAATTTTCCCTGTTCTGCTGATGAAAAAATGAGGGACAAAGAAATCAGCTGTTGATTTGGGTGAGGCAGGTGAGACTTGAAGTCAGTCAGTGACCTCAGGTGTGTGCAGGTGGGCATCTCTGCTGTGTGTGTGTGTCCTGTGTATTGGGGCAGGTGTCTGTGGGAGATGGGAGTGTGACCGCAGGGAAAGAAGCCCTCCTGATAGGCCTTTAGAGCCATGGCCGGGTGACAGGCTGGCCTTCAGCCAGAGAGTATCCCGGGGACCATTGGTTGTTCCCAGTGGTCCTGGGTTGATGTCTGGGAGCTGGTATTGACTCACCCCCACCTCTTTCACCCCATGGCATTTTCTAGCAATGTGCTTAAGGGAAGAGGCTCGGAAGGTAGGTGGGGGCCAGATTGGCTGGGACACTGTCCCTGTGGCCAGTGGGGACTCTGGCAGATTCCAGAGCAGAGAAAGGGCTCCTCCTTCTATGTTGGGGGGATGAGAGGCAGGCAGCAGACCTTGGGCTCTGGCCACTGAGAACCTGTGGTGGTGGTGATTGGGGAAGTTTGGGGGAGAGATGACCTGTCATTATACAGTTCCCGGATTGGGGGTGGGGTGGGTTAAGTTGTCCCCCATAGTCCTCAGGGCAATTGGGATTATAGGTTGGTTGCTTGGGGACTCCACTGTAGATCACCCCTTCTATGGGAAAAGCCACCCAAAAGATCACCCATAAACATAGGATAGGAGAAGGCAGTGACAAAGGCAGCTTCACCCTGTACAAGGAGCTATGGTTTCTGTGCCAGGCCTGCTCACTGTCATTTTTTTTCCCACACCGCAGCCTTTCAATACCCGTGGTGGTATGTGGGTGGGTGCAAGGCAGGCAGAGAGCAGCTTTGACTTTTCGGGGAGGCTTAGTAGATGGCCCCTTCTTAGCCACGAAGCCAAGTGACTGGCCACCAGCTGGCAGGAAAGGAGGAGGGGAGAATGTTCCCGTGGGGAGGCAGAGCCTCCGAGGTCCCATCTGTGAAATGGGCTCCCGCTGGTGTCTACCTGCATGTGCTCCTGCAGGGCTTCTTGGCAAGGGCCTGGCACAGAGGCAGGCTGAGCAGTGAAGAGCTTTAGGAGACTTCCTGCCATCCCTTCACTGGGCACTCTGCTTGCCTGACTATAAGTGGTGGGCCTGATTTCTGCTGCCTGGTTTCCCTCATTCTAGCCACTGTCACTTAGCACACATTGCAGGGTGCTTTTGGGGGGCAGTGTTGCAGATCTGGGGATGAACCAGCTAAGCTGAACGCTGGGGATAGTAAGTTGTGTCTGGGGGCCCTAACTCAGCCTGGCGAGGGGGCCAGGGAAGGCTTCTGGGGTGGAACCTGAAGCAGGTGTCAGCTGGCAGAGGAGGCAGGGGGCCCTGGGCAGAGCACACAGCTCGTGCAAAGGCCTAGAGCCTGCCAGAGGTCTTGCCCAGGAAGTCTGGGGATCTCCCTGCCTTTTCAGAGGGACAGACTCTGTTTTCCTGTCAGAGGTCACCCCCTTACATCCCTTGGGATGGATCTGGCCAGAGAGTGGCGGAGGTGGTAGAAGTCTGGCAAGATGGATTGTTCCCCCTGCGTCCCAGGGAAGGGCCACCAGATAGCCCCTGCTGACCCTGGGTCACCCACGCCTCCTCTGTCCAGTGGACCAGGGAGAAAATCGTTAATGGGAGGCTGGCTTCTGGGGCAAGGCAGCCTCCTTTGGGGACCTGGGGTGAGGAGATTGGTTTGACCTCAGGTCGATAAGGTCTCCTGTGAGCAGGAGGAGAGTTGGAGGACAGAGGGGAGCTGGAGGCCCGCCCTTGGGGGAGGTGCCAGGGCCAGGAGGCTTCAGGAAGTCATTCCAGAAAGGTGGGTGACCCTCCGTGGAGGGGGTCTTTAGGACAAATGCTCACCAGATATGGGCCTCAGAGAACCCTGGATCTTCTAGGTGTGAAGAGGTGGGTCCCACGTTTCAGATCTTGGGTGGGACTGGTGATGTGTCCTGCATTGAGAGGAATGGAAGCGGACTTGACTTATCTGAGCCTCAGTTTCTACATCATTAAATGGGAGTGCTAAGTATTCATGCTTTGCTGGGGTGTGGAGAGTACCAAAAGCAGTAACATCTCAGACTACTCTATACTGCTGTGCGGCAAGTCTCGGGGTTGGGGGGTGGGGAGAGACGTGTGGGGGGGGCCTGGGCCTTGTGGCAGTATGGTTCACCTGTGTCCTGTCTGGTTTGCGGGTCTCCCTGAGAAACTCTTTAAAGGCCCCAGTTATTCTCTTGGTAATTACCCATACTGAATGTTTACCCCGACCAGACACTGTGCTAAGACTTTCTATGGTTAATCATCACAGCAGCTCATAAGGTGGCTACTCTCAGCATTATTCTCACTTTCTAGGTGAGGAAACTGAGGCACAGCAGTTGGTAACTTGCCTAGGTTCTTAGTGAGGAAGTGGCATGAGCTGGGATTGGAAGTCGCAGGTGGAAACCAGCGGGGTGGGGTGGGCTGGGAGCAGAGTGTGGCAGCTGCCTAGAACTCACTGGCTTTGTCTCTGTGACCTGCCAGTTCAACTTTGGAGTGTCAGCCTCTGCATCTGTAATGTGGGCCGATGCTTATGTGCTGAGCATGAGAGTGAAGATTAAATAATGCAGTCCGGCTGAGGGGCTGGGGAGTGAGGACTTGTGCAGGTCAGCGAGGGGACAGAGATCCTGCGCTGAGCATGGGGTGTAGCAACGTGGGAAGCATATTCATGTCAGAGCTCGAGTGCACACAGAACAAACTCAGGGCTTCCAGAACTGCCTAGCTCTGTGATAAAGATGGGGTGGCCCAGCCATACAATTAGCAGGGCATAGAAAAGCCTAACTTAATGCTAAATGTAATGACAAGACTTCGGGTCTTTTCAGTGTTCCTTCCTTCATTCATCATGTTTGCATTTCTACTGTGCTACATGCTGGGCTATGGCAGCAAGAAAGAAGGCGCCAGCCTGCATGGTACCCCGATTTTACTGTGTGTGTGTGTGATGAACAAAAACCAGATAAATGGATGTTCCATCAGGTTGAGAAGTGCTAGAGAGGAAAATGAGGGATGATGGAGCAATGGAGAAGTCCGAGGTGGGGGCTGCCTCAGAAAGCTGTGAAGGAGGGCACACAGTCTCTGGCTGTGTCATCTGGGTGGAGACCCAACTGGAGTAGAGGAGTCAGAATATTCAAATCTGGGGAAGACTGTGGACGCCGATGGCAATCAAGTGCAGAGGCCCTGGGGGGTGTGTGTGTTCTGTGTTGGCAACGGTCAGCCCATGCAACCGGTGGGAGCTGCGTGGTAGGGGCCGACGGAGGCAAAGCGGCCCTCATCTTGCGGGATTTGAGGCCATGAGGACACCTTGATCTAAGTGCGATGGGAAGTCCTGGAGGGTGTGGAGGGGAGGACGCCATGAGCTCATTGGGCTTGGACGAGAGATTGGCAGGGGCAAGAGTAGACTGGTGAGAGGCTTGTCCTGGTGAGAGGCTGTTTTCAGGGAGATTGGAGAGCTCTTGTCCATACAGCCAGAGGCAGGGTGTGGTCAGACAGCTGGAGGGTGTGGTCAGACAGCTAACATGTAGGGGTGCAGGGGGTTTCAGTGGGAGAGACAAAGTGAAGGCTTCTCCACAAAGGACCCAGAATGAGGGCAAATGCTTGGGAGTGTGAAGGAGCAGGAAGAGCCTTGGGGCACAGAGAGGAGCCCCAGCATTAGCTCTGGGGAGAAGGGACAGTGCACTCTGGCCCATTTGTTCCCAGGACGAGCCCTGCAGCGCTCTGTCCCTCCCCACTGGGACGCCAGCAGCAGCTGTATGCCCTGTCCCGCTTCCATCTCCATGCGGGTTAGGGCTCTTCATCCTGGTGCCTGGATGGAGTCCGCTCTACTGTTTGACCGAGAAGGAGGTAGAACCGCTCTCCCTCTACACTTCTTGCTCCCACTGGGGGTTGCGATGGAGCTGGCAAGCTTTGTTGTCAAACAGATCTGGGCCTGATTCTTTGCTTTGCCACTTCCTGGTGAGGCCACTTTGGGTGACTCGCCTCACTGGTCAGCCTAAGTTGCCTCTCCTGTGTGCTGGCGGTGGTAGCAGAGCAATTGTGAGCGTGTGCTGAGGCCCGGCTCTTGTGGAGACCGTGGCTGCTGTCGGCAGGGGACCCACAACTTCCAGGGTGACTTACGGAGACCCTTTCCCTGCCCAGGTGCTGGTGGCCGAGGAGAACGTGGACTTCCGCATCCACGTGGAGAACCAGACGCGGGCTCGTGACGATGTGAGCCGTAAACAACTACGGCTGTACCAGCTCTACAGCCGGACCAGCGGGAAGCACATCCAGGTCCTGGGCCGCAGGATCAGTGCCCGCGGCGAGGATGGTGACAAGTATGGTAGGTGCCAGCCCCTCCCCCCACACCCTGCACACGTGCCTCCCGGCCTGGCCTCTGAGTGAGATCCCATCTCTGCCCCATCCTGGCTGTGTACTTTAACACCTGGCACTGAGCCTTTCTGGACCTTGAGTTTTCTTATCTGTAACATGGGGGTGCACTGATGCATCCCGGAGCCTCTTGTGGCGAGCACTCACTGAAGATGTGAAAAAAAAAATGCTTTGGCTGACAAATATCCCACAGATGGCACTTGTCATGGGGGATCCGAGGCTGGCTTGGGCGTCCTGACATAGGTGGCTGCTCCCTGTGGACCTGCTTTACCAGCCCCGGGATCAGACACTCGGAGGGAGCCTCTAGTTTATGCTTTTTGGTGATGAAAATTGAGCTGGCATGTGTGTGTGCGCGTGAGTAAGCATGTGTGTGAGTGTGTGTGTGCCGTGAGCTTGTACACCTGTGGGGCATGGAGACAGCACCCTAAGCCACCATCCTCTTGACCTACTCTTGACCCTAGAACTGTCTGACACTCCTCTGGGATGTTTTGGGAAACCACCTGCTTCATGCTGCCTCCACTAGGGGCCTGGGGGGAGTGAGACACCCCTGCTCTCTTCCCTTCCCAAGCTCCCAGCCACAAAGTGCTCAGCAGTGAGTGAACAGACAGAACACGCCCTGCACAGAGCTCAGAGGGGCCTGGGGCCAGAGCCTGAGCAGATACTGCCCATGCGCCCTCTGGCTTCAGCCTTCTGTGGTCAGGTCGGTGTCCTAGACCCCAGACCTGGAGGGATGGGAGCTGGGGCCGTGGGTGGCTCCGGCACAGGGCTGGGGCCTGGTCGGCGGGTGCTCTGCAGGCTGCCAGCCTAGGCTTTTCTGGGATGGTGCCCCCCTACCCGCTAGCCCCTGCCCATTGCAGTCAAGACATGACAACAAGACAGATCATTTCTTGGACCTTTTATCTTGGACACCATTTATTTTCCCTCAGCCCCGGGGCAGGACTGACCTCATGGTAGGGCCCAAGTGTGGCAGCTGCACAGTCACTGGGGGCTGGGCCAAGCCAGGCTGGGCAGGGCTGAGCCACGCTGGGCTCCGCATCTCCAGGCCAGCTGCCTCCCCCTGGTTCCTGCCCCATCTCTCTTTACTGTGTGCTCCCCTCCCTCCCTCTGTCCCCTTCTTCCGTTTTCAGTCGCTGCTTCTCTTTCCATCTGTGCCTCTCCTTCTCAGACAGGGCCATGTCTCTCCTTCCTGGTTCTCATCCCTTCCCCTCTTTGTTTCTGCCCCCTCCCTGTCTGTCCTTCTCCCTGCCTGCCTCCCTCCTCTCCACCTCCACCTCTCCCAGGCCCTCTGCGGGCTTCCTCTGGGGCCTCCTTCTCTCAGGGCCCCCCTCTGTGGACTCCTGGCTGTGCTGGGTAAACCCAGGTGGCGGCTTTCCCTGGGATCGGCTGTCCAGTTGCTGCCAGGGAAGGGGCAGCTGGCTGGCCGGGGCGGGAGGGAGGTGCCCTCCTGGGGAGTCCCGGGAGCTCTTGCTGGCCCCTCCAGGCTGGGAGAGTACAGGGGGGTCAGATTCTGGTCTGAACCATCTGTCCACACCCTGAGACAGGAGGCAGGCACTTGGGAGGGAGTGAGGAGCCCAGCCGCTCACTCCAGAAGCCACTTGCCCTCTCATTTCCTCTGCCTGAACTGGAGACTCAGGGGATCTCACCTGCTGTGTGACCTCAGGCAAGCCCTGTGCCTCCTCTGGGCCTTCGTTTTCCTTTTATGATACAAGAGTTGGAGCACAGCCGTACAACGCTGAGATGCATGTGGAGCATAGAAAGATCTTGTTAAAACCCTGCTGTCCGGTCGGAGGCAGTCTGGATGGGGCTTGAGCCCGCATTTCCAACAAGCGCCTGGGTGGTGCCCCTGAGAATGTACTTTGCCCTCCAGGGACCAACCGTCTTGGCTCCTCCCCTAACCCCTGGGACTCTAGAATTTCACAGTTCTTTCAAGGAATATGTTCTGACTCCTCCGCCCCCCCCACACCAGGGCAGCATTGGGCCTTGCCGCTTCTTCATTTAAATGTTGCATTAGAAACGCAGATGAGGCAAAGGACCCCATCTGTGAGCCCTGGGAGAGGAAGTGGACAATGGAGCCAATGAAGGCTCCCAATCTAGATAATCAATACAAATATTATTGGGAGGGTGATTTATGTGGTAGAGCAGGGCCAGGGGATGGATCTGCTTTAGGAGCCTTCTCTGCCTGTGGGGGAGGGGTGACCAGTAATCTGGGGTCAGGCCAGGGGGTCCAGAATGGCCCAAGAACCTCCTCCCTCTTCTCAGGGCTGGTTCCAGCTGAAAGAATGATACAAACAGACTCATCATATGCAGTTAGGGTGCAGGGGGTTTTCAGCAAACTCAGTATAAACAGAATCTCCTGTAAATGCCTGGAATCAGTAATCCCCGAATATATTCAGGAACTCAGATACCATATCCTGCCCAGGCAGAAGGCCCCTAGGGCGGGAGCAAGGCACAGACCACCTTTGTCTGGGTGCCTTTCCCAGGAGCTCCGGCCTGTTTAGCAGCAGTGAGTGGTCTGGTGAAATCTGCATGTATGTCAGGGGTGCTGTAGCGTCCTGTAAGTGACTCCTCCTGGCCCCTAGAGCTTTCTCAGAGAGCACTCTGAGAAGAGGCACTTTCCTTAGCCTTGCACTGGGCTCTGGAGCAGTGGAATGCAGACCAGGGGATTGGAGCCTTAGGTAGTGGATACCTCGTGGGGAGAAGGGTCTGGGGGAGGGTCATCCTGACCCTCTGGGATGACACCTCCCTCCATTCCTTCCTTTGGTGCTGGTCACCTCTGTCCTTCCTGGGAGAAGCAGCACTGGCCCAGTTTCTGCCTGGCTAAGTGAAATGGAGAGGCCCCATCCTCCTTCCTCCGAGGGATGCGCTTAAGCCCAGGCTGTGGGTCACCAGCCCTGCCTGGCTGCGGGAAACAGCACTGTGGGTGATGGCATTTGGGTTTGGAAGGAGACTATGGGGCTGACTGAGGCCACGCGTGCGGATTGGGTGAGGTAACCCCCCTCCTCCCCATTCACTCCAGCACATTGGGGAGTGGGTGGGAAGGCAACTCTGTATAGATAAGCTTTGTGATCAGATAGTCCTACTTTCATTTAGAAAAAAGGCTTCTCTATCTGAGAAAAAAAGTGAGAAAACCTCACCATATTCTGCAGTAGGCCAGCTGCTCCCCCTCAGTGTCCCCCTTGCCCCCCTGCCCTGTATTCCCCCATATCCAGAAGGGACAGAGGGCTGTGTTATCCAGGGAGGTGGTCTTTGAGGTGTTGAGCACGTAGACCCTGGGGTCTGGTGGGATTTCAAGCTTGGTGCTACCACTTCCAAGCTTGAGGCCTTAGATCGGAGTTCACCTTTTGATCCTGCTTCCTTTTCTGTGAAATGGGGTGATTGAATGAGAGAGTATCTTATAGCCATTATTATATGATTATTAGAACAAGAATATCAACAACACCTGAACTCATTTCTGTTGTACGAAGATCAGGGGTGAGAGGGTTTGTTGTGGGCCCAGGTGACTCTCCCTCATGGGAACTGACCCTGGGGCTCCAAGAAGGGACCCTGCCTCTTGCTCATTCATGGGTCCTGGACGCATTAGTTGCAGATGGGAGAGGCTTCTTCCACATGATTCTAAGCAACAGGTCAGATGAAGAGGGAGTCTTTGGACCCTCTTGTTCTGGTTTCTTCTTCACTGATGATTCCTGACCTCAGGGGTCAACCTCAGCTTGCTCCAAGGCTGGAGCCCTCACCCATTCCTAGGGGCTGACCAAGTCAAAATAGCCTAGACCCCTAACTTTCTGTGTAACTTGGGACTCTTCTGTCTCTCCCTGGCCTCCTTCTGGTTTCTTCACATCAGTGGGGCCAGGTGTGGAGTGTGCGGCTTCCTCTAGCTCAACATGGAGTTGGCTGTGATTCCATCTGTGGAGGCCTTGCTGGGCACCCGGCTCCCCTTGTGTTACAGGGGTCTTGCTGTAGGGGGACTCCTCTAAGAATGTGAGCTCCTTAAAAGCAATGGCTTTTAGGGTCCTCCCTGGTGGCGCAGCGGGTTAAACCACAGCACTAAGAAGCTAACGCTACTTCAGCATGAGCTTGATCCCCAGCCCCGGAGGTGACCCACATGGCACGGCAGACCTCTCCTGATCCTCCCGCTGCTCCCCTCAGCAGTGTACTTCATCAGTCTGCTTGTTCTGCTCCCCACTCTGTCTCTGGTGAAGCCTCTCACTGCCCCTGCACCTCTGGCCTGTACCTCAGTTCTGTATGCATAAATAAATAAATCTTTAAAAAAAAAAAAGCAATGGCCTTTATTCAGGTATGAGTTCTGGGGCAAGAAAGCAGCCCCCCTTTGAAGGTTGCTACATAAATGAATACAGCATCACAGTCAGGGCAAAGCAAACTGGACTGGCCGGTGGGCTCATGCAAAGCACACCCATACAGCATCTCTGGGCCTTTGCTGAACCGCTGGCCAGCATGGGCTCCATTTCCCTCATTTCATCACCATGTTGGAAGATGGTGTTGGTATAAGGAGCAGGGGGCTTGGGTGGGGCGGTGTGGTGGGGTTAGCAGGACTGCCGCAGCCCCAGCCTCTGAATCTGGTACCCTAAGTGCATGCCCACACAGCTGGAGAAACAGGAGCCCGCAGGTCCTCTACTCAGAGGCTCATGCCACTTGGGGTACTGTCCCGGCCTTGGTAGCCTGGCTCCTGATGATGGCAGGAATCCGGGGCTCCACTGCTCTGTCCTTGCGCCCAGTGACTCTCCCCCTCCCTCCAGCATGTCCCGCTGGGCCTTTGCCTTGCTGTCCCTCAGCCTGAGCGTGCAAGGCTTTTGCTCTCTGGCCTCTCTCAGGCTTCCGCTCAGTGGAGAGAGGTCCCATGTGTGTACCCTTCTAGGGATATTTTTATCCTTATCAGAGAGGTCCCCTTTTTGTCCCCTCCTGCGCAGATTTTTCTTCCTAGCACAGATAGCTACTAGA